TAATAGTTTGGATTGAAGGTCTCAATTAATTGTGAATGTTAACCAAATATCAATATGTAAAAGTCATAAATACATGGTGAAAATAAAACGTGTCTGAGAAGTTAGTTTGGGTGCGACAAAAGTTACTGTCTTAATTACAAACTTTGGAATCTTATGGATAATATTTATTTAGAAGGAAAAAAGAGACAAAGGAAGTGAACACATAGTGAAAGGGTTCAACCATGATAATAATAATTATGTGATAAATATCAACCTCCAAAGTAAACCAACAATTTAAAAAATATCTTTTAGTGCACTCGGATAAATACATGTCGATTTATGCATTAGGATGTAGAGTAAAACTTGACAAAGGTGTAGAATTCTGTGCAATTGTAAGTTAGAATGATGTCATGAAAGTCAAAATTAATGTCAAAGGATAATCCAATATAAGTTTCTATATGCTATATACATGTATGTGGTGAAGATAAAATGAATCTGGGAAGTTAATTTATTTAAGTATAACATACGGTAATTTGTTTTTAGTTATTGACTTTAGATGTTTAGGAATAAAATATGTTTAGGAGAAAAAAGAAACGAGAAGAATATCTAACATGTCGAGGGACCAATCATGATAATAATGACAATAATAATTATAAATATGAACATAAGCAAGCTCCATATATTAGAATAAATAGAAAGAAAGTAAACGTGAAAAGTTTCAGAGGTTACACGTTGCCTTTCAGTCAATTGGATGGATGACGGGCCTCTTTTGTATAAATCATTGTAAAACACATTGATATTCAATAGGTGTTACAATCCACTTGCAGAAGGAAAATCATCAGGGAGACTTCTGAACCATAATGTAGTTTCACTGCTACGGAGGTTCACTGACAGTCTGTTCAGCATGGTTGAGTAGCAAGTAAAGAAAAATTTCCGGTGTAAGTTTTTGTAGGTTCTCGGAATCGCCAGAACATTTTTCTTTTTGCGTAGGTTGTTGGATGATATCACAGAGCATGAGTTGGTGGATACCGAAGAGTAGGAAATACCATTAATAAGCCGGTAGATAAAGACAAGACTTATTTTGATGCACCTGATCCAGAGAGGATCTAATGTGAGTTGCTGACGTCTTTGGTGATAGTCCTTGTTGTCGGAAAACCACAAAACAGCTTTAGTGAACCATCTTTGAACACCTTCAAGTTTAATCAGGCCATTATTGCCTGCAATTACTGTAAACGAAAATACTATGTTCAAGAACAGATAAGATACTTTTTCTGTATAATAATAATCTATACTATACTACTGAAGTATATCATTATGAATCCAACGAGCTTTCTAGCTTAGGACACTTGAGATTCAGTATGCCCGGAAAAGTTCATTCTGTTGCTACATCTCAAACGCAAGTCGCGAACAGTGTTGAGAGGTCTCAGTGTATGTTTGGTATAGCTAGGTTTACGCAGCAGCTTATGTGAATAAATTCTTTTTTGTCCACATTAAGTGGCAAATTCAACGAAACAGTCCGTCCGTACAACTTGTTAATTTCTCCTTGGATTACCACTGAAATATAGCTTTCTTTGATTAAGAAGAGAACAAATAAACCAATTTTAGGTCATCGAGAAAAATGAGAGATTTACCATACTGAAAGAGGGAACACACGTCATTGATAAAAAGAGGAAGAGTAATGAACCAAACACACTTCCTTGTATTGCTCCACTGGTTAAATCCACAGGCTTAGAGTAGCAGGATCCAAAGCGGAAAATTTGGCTACGTTCCTGTAAAAAAGATTTGAATCAAGATAAAAGGGAATCCCGTATGCGAAATGAAGAATTTTTAGAAGTTTGTGTGAGACACTATTGAAAGCCTCACTAAAATCGAAGTGCAGAATTATCATTGGCAGCCTTCTCTGTGTAATTTGATCGAAAATTTCCAGGTACGATGTGAAGTATGAGCGTTTAGTCATAAATCCGTGCTAGGATGGGCTGACGAAACTATCCGAAATTAAAAATGATGATAGCGTAGGTTGGGAAGTTAAATATTCAAGCAACCATACTAGATTAAGACTATTAACTAGGTGACAAATAAGTTTACTAACATCTATCACAATCTCAAATGCAGAGTACTATTCTAAGTGCACCATATGACGTCCAAGTTATCTATCTTATGAGAAGTATTTCTACCTGAGTTGGTACGATAAGCAAAACAAAACTCCATAACCTAAGGCGCCATATCTACCAACAAGAAACCTCTTCAAGTCAATAACGTAAAGTTCAATATCGGTCATAACTTTATCGAGTCAAGTTTCAAATGACCTGATCATGCTTGGTTAGTTATTATATACTAGCCCTCTGAGTTTTTGCTATCTTTAATCGTAGTCCCTTTATATTGCTGTACAAACAGTCATTGAGTGAAATCCAATCTTCTAGTACAATAGGAATGCGTAAGTTATGTTGAAAGTGGTAAAACGAAATAGCAAGACAACATTTATTGAAGGATGGCTTGATCTGTATAACTTTTCTTTGTAATACTGGAGGTCAGAAATAGATTGTGTAATTTATTCGAAGCAGAAACATCAAAGTATTGCATGGCTTAGGTGACCTCTAAACAGACTAATCAAGAAAATCTTAGTCCAAGAATGGATATTTCATAATACGTATTAGAATTTGGATGAGGTTTAGTTCAGGATATTGCACTCGACATTAATGTGGTGTTTGAATTGACTAATGATACCTTTGTACATGTTGATTGCACGATTTCGAATTCCAAATACAGTACATTCGTTTATGCTTGTGTCTTCTTAATTCAACTGCGTTATTTCTTGGAATCTTAGTTCGTGCTATAATTCAAATAATTCGAAACATCATAATTAATCAGCACTTGAAATATGCCTTTCAATCGGAAAGCTGCTGGTTCAGAATCTGAAATACTGTGAAGACTCCAAATTGTAAGGTTTAATTAGGTAGAAAGAATTCCTGGTCTATTAAGTGTGGAAATCTTTAAATATTGAGAGATGTGTTCATACTATCGGCATGTTGACTTTGGTAGAAATATATCATTCCTTTCTGCCCGGGATAACTCATCTCAGGTCACACCTTAATAAAGCTCAGAAATGTAGATTTCTAACCGAATAGTGAACTACTGGTGCTGTTTACCGAAACACCTGTTGATATGTAAGTTCAACAACTTTACGGAATTGATTTTTTAAGGGAAATAAAACAGTGTATTATCTCCTATCCCTATTCTTAAAGACTGAAATGTCTGTAAATCAGTTTTGGCTACCCAAAATTTGAGAACAAAACAAACAGCTGTCAACATATTGTTGAATAAATCTGTTGCTTTTACAGTTTTTACCGCAGACTACCTCCAAAGTAACTGTGTATTCGTCTTCAGTCTTCAGTTATAGGGACAGTAAGGTGGTGAAACTGTGCTTTTCCGAACAGTTTGCTTTCCAGTGAAGGTCCAGCGTCCCCTTGAAAGTTTCTCCTGATGGCGTTCCAGTCATTGACCATTTGAGGAGAAAAACAGAACCGCATTTCAGGTTTATTAGATTGCAGTTTGTGAACCTTCGCCCTATGACCTGTGAGGGAGCAAAAACGTTTTAACACCCAAATCGTACTTAAAGATACAAAGTGAAATAGCAGTAATTCATCGACGTATAGAAACATAATAGGGGACCAATGATGGTTCAGTGGGGTGCGACACTTTTGACCGCGTTTTATTCAGATAGCGTCCCATTAAACCTCACTCTCTGTCTGCGGCTGCATAAGAAGTTTCCCGTCTATTCCTATACAGCACATGTTATTCCGAAGCTCGAGAGTTGCCTCATACGACCTAAGTAAGTCAAATGCCTTGCTAAAGCTTAGGAATATCACATCAACATACAGACCATTATCCACGGCAGCTATCTAGTCTTCTCTCACAATAAGTAAGGTTGGTTAGGCATGAATACTTGTTTCGAGATCCATGTTGCTCAGGAGTCAGCGTGTTAACGATTCAGCGTGATTTAGTAACTTAACTCAAATTATTTTTTTAAGTAACCTAACGACAATGTTTGTCAGACTGACAGGTCAGTAGTTGGATACGATCTGTCTCTGATCATCTTCAAATATAGCACTGACTATAGCATCTTTCCAATATCTAGAGGAGTTGAGTGAGGGAAAGGGACATATTGAAAAGCATAGCGAGTGGTTTTGAAATAATGTCCGCAATAGATAACAGAGGTCGTGTATGTAACCCAAAAGGACCCGGTATCTTACAAGGTTTGAGGCTAGTTATTAATGGAGGAACGGTCTCTTATCAGTCCCATGTACCGGTCCTACGGTGGGTATATCAGTGTTGTGATTAGGACAAGTATTTTTAACAATGCATATGGAGTAGACTTCGCTGAAATAGCTTGGAAAGATCAGCTTTAGCCAGGTCTAATTCGTGCAACAGTGATGAAGGAATACCATCACCACGGGTTTTCCTTTTAACATACGAAAACAATCGTTTCAGGAAAACACGGCTATCACATGTCATCTCTTTTTCGTAAATAGTACGGCATCTAGCTATGGTCTTTTTAAATATATTTCGGATTTTCCGGTATTCATACTTAAGTGATTCATGCCATGTTGACAAGAATAAGTCCCGGGAACATTTCTTATGCCTCGACAGCTTTTGGGTTTTTTTATCGATCCATAGAGAGCAATGCGATAGCCTACTCGTTGACCATGGGATAAACGGTGAAGTTACGGACTCAAATTTAGCATTTAATTTTTCCAATTAGTCATCAATCCATCTATCCGCATCAACCGACCAGTCTGTCGAAATATCACAGTCTCTGATTTCCAGAATATTAAGTCGTCACATTTTGGGACAAAGTGGAGAAGATGCATTTTGTACATCGTGCGTTCGAAACCTGAAGCCCAGCACATTTTAGAAAATTGACATAAGCGGACATCATTTTTTATTTTATACTGAAACACGAAGATGTCGAAGTTCCGAAACAAATCTACTAACAATGTTTTTACTTAAATATTTGTTTTTCTGTTTATCGTAATAGCGGTATGACCAAACATTTCTTTCAAGGTCAGGGGGATGATACCGTCTGATGGAAGCCAGCTTTTTGGTTTATACGGATATCTAATCTTGGTCATCTTCCTTGCCTTAGTATACATAGTTCTGCACCTGTTTCCAGACATAAGGGCATGTCTGTCATGGCGTAAATTTATTGAAGCAACCAAACATACGAACGCTAATACTTCTACATCTAACACAGTAAGTTCCATCCCCATTTTGTCTTATAATGAAATGCAATTCGTCATAATTGGTCTCAATCATTTGTAAAAATATAAGTATTCAGCCCTAGAAGTCTTAAAATGGGCTGCCTATAATCTACGTTAAAATAAATAATTGATTCTGGTTTCGAGTTACACTGTGTGAAACTTATGATATTATGTGTATTGCTGTCAACCGACACATTTCTAGTCGACTTGATTTCCCTGTGGTCTTTGGAGGTGTGGAAATCCTAGGTCACATTTATATAAAATTCGGAAGATTATCTGGTCGTTTACCCACACTCGTTTGTAAGATAATCCGGATTTCATCTATACACATTTGTTCTAATTCTCCGCTATCTTAATGGTTTTAGTGTTAGAAATCAGCAGTTGTATTCGGTATTTTAGATAATTCATGTAGATATATATTTGCAAGCCCATCTACATTTACTACGAGAAAAGACGAACCCTTAAAAACAATAAATTTCATACCGGTTGGATAAGTTGTACCTGAATGTTTTACCAATCTATACAATTCATTTGGTTGAAAGTTAGGAACCGATTCCCTAGACAAATAATAAACGCAATTATAGTCTGGTGATGAGTCGACCGGCATCCATTTTTACGTATCGGTAGATTGTTCTACTCTAACAAATAAATATCTTCTGAATTTCCTCTCTTCTGGGTTTTGTTTTGCTATTATTACTAAAACAAATGAAATTTATTCCATGTGACCATGCTTTCATTCTCATTGTTACGTGTTTTGTTAGGCCATTCATCTAAAGTTAGCTTTAAGATAGTAACAGCACAATCGATGCTCATTCTGATACACATTCATTTGCTTGGCTTTGAGCCACATTCTCAATGTAAGGGTTAGTGAAATTATTCTTCTGGTCAAACCAAAGTTGGCGGGAAAGGGTTCATACCTAAAGCTTGGTAACCGAGAGTTAGGTATGTTATTTATTTGTTTGGACACATAAATATTGATACAAAGGGGCACCGAACACATATGCGCCACACAAGTCACTTGATTTCTGTGTAGGCTATGATACTGTCCGGGTGCCCAGGACAAACTGCGTGGTTTTCTTAGGAGGCCACACTCGGAGCCCCTGACCTAAACGTCCGATCAATAAGGCAGTGGGACAACGTCATGAGATGCAGTCATATGGTAGCCGGTGACTAATAATCGATTCATACACCATTTGTTATCTCAGGATTCTGGAGTTCATGTGTACGACTGGTTTGGGATCAGGGTTTTCCAACTCCCCTAAGTGGACTCTTCGTATCCACCATCCCTGTTAGAGAGCCGAACATTTTTCATCCTCTTAATTCTGTAAACAACACCGTCGCCGCGAGAAGGCAGAAAGTAGGATTTTCCTTATTTATTATTTATTTATTTATTTGAACACACAAATATTGGTACAAGAGCGTGCAAAATATATATGCGCCACACAAAACAAGAATTTAAAGAGAAGGAAAAGGAAAAAAAAGTAGGGAGCGTAAAAAAAGAAAACAATAACGAAGAGATTGGTGTAAGGTAGTGTAATAATAATAATGGTAATAATGGTGGGACGGAAAGGTACAATCAGAAGAAATCTATCAGTTAAGGAAGATACAACCACTCTTAACGAAGAAAGTAAAAGAAGGTTACAGAAGGATCGCCATTGGCTTCTATTCTGAGCCATATCTGATAGCGTCTCTAGCCACTGTGTAGCACCATCTCTCAGACTCCAACCAGGGAGTCGTGAAGGTCTAACACAAGCCAGCCCTTTACAGCTTTCTTTCATGCCACGACACCATGTCATGCACTGACCACCTCTCCGCTTTTCCCAACCAGTCCCAGAGTCGGCAAATAATGCACGACGTGGGATTCTCTGGGACGACATTCGTAGAACATGTCCAGGCCACCGAAATCGGTGTTTCAAGATGGTGACACCAATTGCATTATCGTCTCTGTGACCGAACACACAATGCCGAACCTCTGCATTACTAACGTGGTGTTGCCACTGGATGTCAGCAATCTTTCGGAGACAACGATGATCGAACACAGAAAGTCGTCAAACGTTCTCAACTCGGAGAGGCCAAGTTTCACAAGCATAGAGCGAAACTGCTCTCACCGACGCGTTGTAGATCCGACCTTTTACAGCCAGACTAACATCACGAAGGCGCCAAAGATGGCCCAAATTGGCATAGGCCGCTCTGGATTTCACTATACATGCATTGATCTCATCACTGGTACCTCCACCAGCACTTATGGAGCTACCTAGATACACGAACTTCTCGACTACTTCTATCTTCTCACCATCTAGAGTAAGTACAAGATTGGAATCCTGCCAGTCTTGTAGAAGTACTTTGCACTTCGAAGGTGCAAAGCACATACCATAATTACGGACACTGATCGCCAACTGATTAAGTGCGGATTGCATGCCTTGGGCATTATCGCACAGTAAGACAATATCGTCCGCATACTCAAGGTCGAGAAGTCTTTCTCCAGGCAACAGATCCACACCACCATTACTTACATTCATCAGAGTTGTTTCCAGAATGTCATCGATGGCAAAGTTGAAAAGGAATGGTGAGATTGGGCAACCCTGCCTAACCCCACTACTCGAATGGAACAATTGAGAGAGGTGGTTGTATGCCCTCACTCTGCCTGAGGTGTTTTTATATAGGGCTTTTAGGATGTTAATAAACTTCTCAGGCACACCCTTCTTCAATAGACACGTGGCTGTGCGATAGCATTTAGAGAGGGAAAGTTGACTTTCCCCACCCTCGGCTGTACCAGGGCATTTGGGGATATCTTAGCGATTAAAACACTACTTCACTATCTCTAGCAAAGCATCTAATTACTAATCATAGCACAACATTTTGTAGTTTAATATTTTCGTTTTATTGATCCGTGTTAGGGGAGGAGTAAAATAAGTTGATGTTTCGATGGATTCATAGTATATAAATGAACCACTTTGCATGTCCAACATGTTCTAACAGTAATGATATTGTACTTTAGTGCTTTGTGGTGCATGTCACTATATGAATCATAACACATTCAGATTCTCAAATCCTACAGATAAATGAAATTGGCAAAATTATTGAAACTTAAATTTTAAAGTTTGTTAGATGTGGTTTTTTTTATTTAAGCACAAATCCGGTACAACATGGACACTAAAAAATCTATCTCAAAAAGTGTGTAACATATATAGAGTAGGAGAAATAAAGTCTGACTTACCAGAAAAATTGAGAGAACACAACTACAGTTAGATGCATTCAAGAAGTTTTAATTGTTCTTATAATTGAATTTTAAAATAGAGAACCAATCAAATGCTTCGTAGGACTCCAACTGACTTTGATTTTGGATCCCATCCGATGACGCTATCAAGTTATCTTACGTCTCACAGTTTAACATTATGGAAGTATACTATCTCCACTTGTTTTACGCAGTTCAGACGTCTGGATGTGGTACTTAGTATAGAAACCGTTGAGATGTTAGACACAAAACGTGCATAAATCTTCGAATTCATTATTCCAAAATGACTGACTGACTGATTCCAAAATGAGATCATTGATTAAATAATGACTGTATAAATTTGAGAATAGAAACGGTGCGATCAAATAACTTTTTCTGTCCTCATTGTTAGTTTCCAGTCTGACGCATTTTACAGAGCTCCAAAGATGTTGATTTACTTCTCAGAAAACCATCTGTCATTGACAATCTCATAACACGTTCCTGCCATTAAGAATTACAGCAACTTCTGTCCTACTCTACATCTGAACATATCTTAAGAGGAGGAACCGAAAGGATTATTAGTGGAGATCAATAAAAATAAAGTATTGTTGATGTCTCACGAGTCAGTTCCCTGCAACATACATTATAGTAGGAATCTACGTCTTAAAATTTGTTGATCAGGGGAATTCGATGTAGTTTATCCCTTATATATGTTGGGGCAAGAATTCATTAATTATAAATAAAAATAATATATTTGTAATATCCCAATGAGTAGAAAATTGGATTTTCTGACGTTTCGTGACTTACACTAAGTCACGAAACGTCAGAAAATCCAATTTTCTACTCATTGGGATATTACAAATATATTATTTTTATTTATAACAATGAACCCAATGCTCAATTTATTCGAAATTATCAAATCAAACCTTGGTAATGACACCTACAATTCATTAATTGTCTAATCAGTTTTTTCGATTCATATAGACTAATCCTCCGGTCTACTGGAATTCAATTCCCAATTTTCGGTTATCCATTTTGTTAGAAAAATACTAGTTATTTAAAGGCAATAAGTCTAACACTGAATATAATCTCAGTCAGTCATCACCAAGTTGTTAAATATCACTTCAAAGTAATAAGGCGAAATGAATGTGGAAAGTTAAACATAAGTGCATATTCTAAAGGAACAAATACACTGTTGCATTAGAAGTTTAGGAGTGACGACTAACGCAAACTAGGCATCGACTAACACAGTGGTCTTGCGTGCTGTTAGAGGTGTGAGGGTGGTTATCACTTCCCGGTTTCCCACACTGTGGAAGGGTTCTTCTGGAAATACCTGAATAGGAAATTGAACTAAAGATGGTCTCAGTGATCTGAGAGCGTGACCGCAGTATCCATGGGACAACTGCTTGACGTCGGTCACACACGATCTTTTTGTGGGTAATTTTCGTACTTGTTGAGAACTTACCACCGGAGACGGATATCCTTGGGTGGAAGTTAGGGGCGACCAAACCAAAACGTGGAATCAGTGCTTAAAATAACTAACTGCTAGTCGGAGCCATGTTGGTAAAGGCAAACTACCCGGTTGGGGTCCGCGTGATCATCGTAACCAATGATTGGAGACTTTGTGTGAAATGGCTCGGAATCGACCACAATGGTTTAGATGTATACACTCTTCTTCCTTTAAACTATGAAATTAAAATCGTTTCATACCTTTGTTTTTCTACTAACTAATTATTTCTTCCTGTACTATGTCCTTATATGCAATCTTTCTTTTACAT